TAAGAGGTTGTGAGGGGAATGGGGAAAAAAAAAACAAGGAGAGAAATGAATTACAGTAGATGGGGTAGAGAGAGAAGATGGGAGGGGAGGGGGGGGGATAGTAGAGGATAGGAAAGGTAGCAGAATACAACAGTTACCAATATGGCAGTATGTAAAAATGTGGATGTGTAACCGATGTGATTCTGCAATCTTTGTAATGTTTTGAACAACCAATAAAATAAATAAGAGGAAAAAAAAGAGTAGAACACTTATATTTAACCACTATTTTAAATCTGGATTTCTTAAATAATATTAAGAAAAAGTCACACTTGTCTTTTCTCCTTTATTAACAACATTACAAATAGTTCAAAGTTGACAGCATTTTCTGTGGTAAAAGGGTAGTCATGGGTTAAACGTTGCTTCCTTCGGTTGCCAATGAAATTGCAGCAGAAATTAATGTTGCAACTGTAAACAAATGAACTTCCTCCAATTGTTCAGTATTTTTTCATATTAATAATGAAATAATAGGGAAATGGTTTTTAGCTTAGTCAGAAGGAAAGGACATGACATTGAATTATATGATTTTTTAAAAAACTCTTCTTAAAACATAATCTTTGTATTCAGTCAAAAAAAAAGGATACTGTTACTTAATAGAAATTCAGTCAGATGAGGCAATTTGAGACATATGCCTGGAAAAAAAGAGATCTAAATTAGGCTGTTTCTCCAGGTCTGAAATGAAATTAATGTGGATCTTCTTAAGAGTTAGAGATCAGAACCTCATTCTATGGTAAAAGAATTTTTCCATCTGAAACTGAGTCTTATTCTTTCCAACCTTAAAATAAGCCTTAAACAAAACTTAGTGTCTGTTACTTGATATACACTGAGAATTAATATATAAGGCTTTTAGAGATTTTTAGAAGAAAGGGGGCTGAACTTAGAGTTATCTTCTAGTTCTGAAATTTTATGTTGGTCTTATTATATATATAAAAATATGTCATTGTTCAAGGAAAAGAAATGAAGAAAGATTGTATGAAAGATTTGGTTAAACAAGTCTTATCCATAAAGCAAGCAGAATTTCCAAAGACATTTCCCAGTTCTAAAATATTGAAATATTCCATCAATGGTGACTGTTAAAGAGTTGAATAGGACTTAGAAGATTGTAGAATCTCATCAGGGCCTGATCTCAGGAGTGGATGATTCCCAGTGTTCACATTTGGCATTATACTTCTGTGAGCCTAGGTCTTGTTGATATCACAAGTTCAGTGGAGTGTATATTTAACATTTCATATGTCCAAAGCCATTTGCAACATAATGGCTAGAAATTAATGAAATATCTTTCAGGTCTTTTGTAGTCATAAGGATAACATTACCTCTTCATCAAGAAGCAATGGAAATGGGTAGAATATTAGTGACAAATGGATGACACTGCCTGAGTAGATGGATTTTGAATTGAAAACAGTTTTTAGGATTGAGTTTATGTGCTTTTCAATAACAAGGAAACTAGTATTAGAAGCTGGAGACAATAAAACTAAGATGTTTAATAAAATTACCTTCTTTCTGGGTCAGTATGAAATATCAGAGATATCTTCAAAGGTAATKGGTCATGTTGGTTAAGAAGGATAATGTAAAAAGGAGTCTGAATAATTCCTATGCACTTTGTTCCCATTCCTTGAACTAGATGATTTTGCCCTCATCTTAATGCTATCTTTATGGAATGAAGGAATTTTAAAATTGGTTTTTAAACTCTATTAAGCTTTCATATATGATATAACCCAACCACATTATTCAGGTTTTCTTGGCTTTCAGGAACAGCTTTGCAGCCATTATGTCATAATTGAACTGAACATTGTTTCACACTTTGAATTTGGAATATGCTTCTCTGGCTCTTGACCAGTTGCTGAGTCAGTACCTTTAGGGTTGAGGATGGAGGTGGGGCCTCTGTGTTAAAGATGTGTTAACATAAATTAGTCCAGAGTGCTCTTTGAACTCTTGGGTATTAGAGGGAGTGTATCATGAGAATACATTACTGTTCTTGATTAGCATCATCATTTTATTTTTCTCAGCTGAATGTTTTCTTGGAAACCTTTCTCTGACATTGTCATGTGAACCAACCCATTAACAAGTAGACTCTTCTGAAGCAACAATCTGGAAAGAGTGGCTGCTAAGGTCTGAAAATCCTAAAACAAACTCTTACTTACACTGAAGATTCCTCTCCCTTTCCACTCCACATTTGCATGGAAGAGAATACCAAGGTAAAGAGCATCTGTCATTTAAAAAATTCATTAAAATTTATCTAATAGTAAGAGAGGAAAATGCATTCTTTTTATAGAAAGCTTTTCTATCTCAGGTGCTTAGATAGTTTCAAGATGGGTGCCCAGGTACTCTAATGTCCCCTCCCCCATTTCCTGACAGTCTTTTCTGACACCAGGGATTCCCAGTTATGATTGAAGAATGAAAAAAGAGTGGGCAATGAAAAAAAATGCCTTTACATCTCCCTGGATCTGTAAGTAATTTTGGTTCTCTTTTAAAGGGCCAAGTATTTTAGTTTCCTTCAGACTACTTCAGATACTCTGTTCAAGGCCTTATGCAGTCATAGACTTTTGCCATGGAGTTTCTTCAGCATGAGATTTTGTCTTCTCAGATCAGGAAGAAGTTTGACACCCAAAGCCTGAGGGCATAGTTCCTCTGGGTCTCTGAAAAATGGGAGAACAAATGGTAGAATTTTCATTTTACAGTTGATGAGACTAAGGCTAAAGAGTTGAGGATTTGTGAGTCCAAAGCCAGCCTCAGCAAAAGCAAGATGCTAAGCAACTCAGTGAGACCCTGTCTCTAAAAATAATACAATATTGGGTGGGGATGTAGCTCAGTTGGCGAGTGCCCCTGAGTTCAATCCCTGGTACACCCCCTCCAAAAAAAAAAGAAAACATTGAGGATTTGCCCAATGTCTCCTAATTAGCTAGTGTCAGTTACCTTTCTCTATGAGGTATATATTTATGTAATCATCACCTTAAAAGTGCATTCAGAGAACTCAAATGTAGAATTCCAACTGAAATGGCACGTGAAGAATAACTTTAAAGTTCTAAATGAAGTATTATACCATTTATGCTTACTTTCTCTGACTGATGAGTTAGCAGGAACGATGTTCATTTACATTATTTTGACCCTTCTAGATAGTTTATTTAGTACCGCTTGGGACAAATTATATTTAAAGGTATTAATAAAGTCCAACTTTACCATTACATAGGCAGCTTCTGTTTTGACATTCATGGATCAAGAATAACATTGGTAAAGTAGTAAGATTCTGAATTTTTCCGTATTTGAAAAAAATAAAGGCAAATACTAGAAAAGAGCAAGTGGAAAGGGACTGGCCTTTGTTTTAAAAGCTATTGGGGTAAACTTTGATTCCTGAAAAGTTCAATTTCAGTGTGCTGTTTTGATATTTTGTGAAACCTGAGTGAACTAAGCCAATACCTCATACCAAGATATTAGCTGGTCAGTCTTACCTAGATTTAGTGACTTCCTTAATAGCAGATAAACATATTGGATCTTTCATCATTCATGTCATATCTGAGAGTTTCATACTTAAGTAATGCTTACAATCAATTTTTCAGCCATTTCTGTTAGAAATATTTTCAGTTTTATAATTCCCCATTTCTGAGACTGCTGTGATTTCTGAGATTTAAGTTTTCCATTTGAGGCCAATAAAAGCACATTTCTTTTAGTAGAATCATTATCATTATTATTGTTATTCATAAAATGCCTTAGAATGATTTATTAACCAGTAGTCTTACTTCTCCATTTTGTTTTATGACTTACGCAAAGGTTTTTACATTTTTTAATCCCTTTTTAAGGTACTCAGTCAACTTTTGCCTTCACTCTTCTCCCCCAACTCACTATCGCTATCCCTACCCGAAATCTCTCTCTTTAGTTAAGATGTTAGACTAGGCAAGAACCAGTCAAGATAGTTTGTTTTAGAGGTAGGCATTTATTGGAAGAATTAACTCCTTTGGAGCCACATTGGACATATCTCTTCTGGATGGTGTAGGTTATTTCTTTGCCCCTATTCTGGGCAAGTCTTCATCACTCTGTTTGAAAATGAACCATTCCCTCTTTCTAGAAACACTTTATAAATAAAACTAGCCTTGCCGGCATCTTATTCTAGTCCATGCCACCATCCTCTCTCAAACTACTGTAGTCACCTGTTAACTAGGTCTCTGATTCCATCTTTGCTCTTCACTTACTATTTCCTCTTCCTGAAATATTCCTCTTTCAGATCTTTACACTGTCTCATCCTTTAGTTTTGGTTCGAACTATATCTGCACAGAGAATACCTTATTTAAAGAACCTCCCTTAGTCACTATCACATTTGAATCTCCTTCCTGTACACCTCACTGTCTGACACGGTAAGACATAATTAGACTCATAGGCGTCTCTTTGCTAGAATGTGCACCTCACGAGGGCAAGGTGTCTGGCTTTCTTGTTCACCACTGTACATACACCAGCACCTATAATAGTATCTGGTACACGGAGAAATGTAGGTAATTGTTAAATGAACGAATACATCAGTGACCCTCATCCCACACCTGGATTATCAAACTGATCTCCATTTAGCTTTCCCCATTCAATAGCCATGGCATTCCTACCTCAACACCTTTGTATCTATCCCTAAATTTGAAATGCTTTTCCTTTTATCKGTATATCCAAATCCTAAATGATTTAAAATCTTTCTTTTGTGAAACCACTTCCAGTCTCAACCCATTGTACTCTTCTTTCCCATTCTCTTATGGCATTTAAAATCACCTTTTATATGTCCCTGTTGTTAGTTTCCTGTTTTTATAATTTACCTGTATATTGGTACATGTCTTACCTTCCAACCAGATTTTTTAACTCTTCATGGGTGAGGATTCTCTTATTCACTCTCAATCCTTTTTTCCCTCTTCACTTGTAGAATAAATGAATAAATGATATCATTAGTTTTCTGATTACTGAGAAGCCTATCATAATTTCTTGTTTCATTTAAAAATTTAACTCCCTTCTCTTCAACCCACTAAAATACAGCTAGAATTCTTGTTGCTCATATCTAGTGTGTGAAGTTGACTACTCAAGAACTTTAGGAAGGAAAGAGATTGACTAAACAACAAGCAGGACAGAAAAAAAAATTAATGGCTTACTTAGTTTTACAGAGAATTAGAAGGAGGTAAAGGCAGTATGCATATATTAAATGGTGGACACATAAATGTCATATGTTTTTAGTGAAATCAATTTATTGGATAGGCAGAACCCACACTTCAAACAGCTAAAGAACTTTTTCACAGAGTACTTGCAAATTGGATGTGCGTGAATACAAATGAATGTAGCACCCATTGAGTCCAAACAGTGGAATAGAGACATCCAGATCCTTGGAAATCCCATGGTCATGATAATAATTTGAAGGGAAATTAAAAGGGTTTTGTCTGTGGGCACTCATGTGATCAGTCAGTCCTTTCTGGACTCTGATTCTCTACTAGTTCTCTAGTTCCCTGTGTGGAGAAACTGTTGGCACTGAGATCTGGACATAGAAACTGCAGGGAGGGAGTGTGGTATAAGGAGCTACTCCTTGCTTACCCAGGCCTGGGTCATGAAATAGGCCTATTTGGGTTTACTGTGTTGTATAGAAGCAAAGCAGATATCCAGATTGCCTAATCAGAACAAAGCTGAACAGGATGCCATGTGCAACAGACCCACAGGTGGATAGTTAGCTCAGGATCTTTGTTGCAACATCTTATCTGAATTGGCACCACCTTCTTAGTAGTTTCCCTGGCCAGGTGAATTAGGGCCCCATTTCAAGTTGGAGCTTTACCCCCCCACACCCATTCCATATTTTCTGTTCTGTACCCTCATTTCCACCCCCATTTTAGCCCCCTGGAATTGACACCTCACAGTAGCTGTTCAGTTTTCAGTTTTGGATTTTTGTTTATATAGTGCCTTTCCTTGTCACTCTTGGCTTCACAAGGGCCATACACTCTCTCTCTCTCTCTCTCTCTCTTGTCCTTGTACCCAAAATCCCAGTGTAGACTGCCACTTGTTCAGGAGGAAATGAGGGTCAGACAGACATGACTGATCAGAAATCCAGTAACACTGGAGAGGCATTTGTCCCTATTTTCCTGAATTAGGTAGAGACCCATGATCCAGAGGAGTCCCTTTAGAGAACCTCACTTCATTACATAAACTTCTTGTGATCCAAAATAATGGGATTTGTTCCCCCAAAGAGGTGTGTATCAGTGTCTGTTTCTGTTCATTCCAGGAAAAATAGGAATGTTATATTTAGATGATAATGAATGTGAATTGGAGCACTTAACTTCTCATATGGCACAAATGACTAAACAGAAGCCCTGAGCTCTCTTTATGGAACACAGGTTCAGCAAGAGCTATGGTAATAGTATGTGGTTAATGTCAGCTCAACATTAAATGTACATTATACTCTTGTGAAGAAGCTCCAGCATTATCTGTTAATAACCAAGGCGGTACCTGGGTTTATGTAGACTTTTTGATTTTGCACATGAATTAACACTGCAGCTTGCTGATGAAGGATCATGTGAGCTTGGAGCTTTGGTGTGCCAAAGACTCTTTGTATGAATAAAATTCTGGTCAGTGAAGGTCAGTTTCTCTACTCAAGCGAGAACAATGTTGTTTCCCTCCTAATCAGATACACACAGTGTTAGAAAAATCCAGGAGCCCTGCATAAATGATGTGCAGCCATAGCCTGGGCAGCTCCTCATGCAAGAAATGAATAATCCTTAATAAAGGTTCAAACAACCCTGGCTTCTTTCTGTACTGTAATCGTTGCTTTAATGGTATGCCCTTCAGTGCTTTGCAGGGAAATTGCTATAAAGTTAAGTTATCTTCCCTATCTTGTTTCAAGGAGGGCTGTCCAGTCGACTCCCTCCCTAATATTGTGTTTGATTCTACCATAAAGACCACTGAAGTCAGCCTGAGTTTTGTTGAAAGGCCAGCATTCCCTTTCTCTTTTAGTGGGATCTATACCTCTGAGCAGCACTGGACTTGAAACAGCAGGAGTCACCATCTTTATTGTTAGGCTGTGGAATTTGTTTTAAGCACATTCTAAATCTAATCTTATACCTTTTGCTTCTTCTTCTTTTTTTTTTTTTTTGTAAGTCTGTGACAAAGGTGACCCAATTGTACCTCTTTGATATTATGAACACAGCTCTTTTTGCTCATATCACAGAGACATATAACAAAATACAAAGGATAAAATTGTGTGTCTGTGTAATAAGGACACATATTTCATGACTAAATTCAATGACATAATCAAAAAAGTTGTTTTCTCTGCCATGAACTAATAAGCAGAAACCACTTTTCATGATTTTTTAATTTTTAATTTTTTTTAGTTGTCAATGGATCTTTTTAATTTTATTTATTTTTTTATATGCAGTGCTGAGGATTGAACCCAGGGTCTCATGCATACCAGGCAAGCAGTGTACCACTGAGTCACAACTCCAGCCCCTTGGGATTTTTTTAATAGTACTAAGATACCGTTCAAAAATAATTGAACTAGTGAAAATGTCACATTGWCAAAGTAACCCATACTAAGATTTTACTTCAAGAAGGCTCTATATGGTGAATGTGACATTGAYAGCAGTGGTGTTAGGGTTGACAGTTTTTTAGTAAGATGTTCTAAGAAGATAATTAAAGAGTTCCTACGGAAGTGTGTCATGTTGCATTTTATTTTTTCTAATACAAAGTGGACTCCACAAATTAAGGAATTTTAGCCTTACTGTCTGCCTAAGAGAGGGATAGGGAGTTTTTTCCTTTATATCAGATTCTAATATAGTTTTATAATATGATACTTCCAAAGAAATAAGTCAATTGAACGCTATAGTAAAATGAATATGCCTTGAGCATTTAAAAAATACGCAGGTTGTAAAATTGCATAGCATGGATACCTTTCCTGATAAACGAATGTTTTAGGATTTGATGATTAAAAATGCATAAAAAATAGAAATGGAGAATAATTGGAAAAAAGAGGGAGTTGTATACAGAATGGTTGTAGCATCGCTGAAGACTTGACTTAGCTCTCTGTGTTGGTTTAACAAATATTCAAGCAAATCTGGAATGAATAGCAACTCTGTTTACTATGACAGGTTTTATTTGTCTTGGGTGCAACCAAGACCACATGCTGTGTTTTGTCATGTTGGAAATACTGAAGCAGATTTTCATTGTGCATGTGAATTTTTTTAAAGCCTTAACACCTCAGCCTCAACTCAGCTAGGTGAAAGCAATAAGTTTTACTTCCCTTACTGGCCATACATCAATAAATCTTCAGTCCCTCCACTAAAAGCATGTAGCTAGTTCACCATTCTGATTATTAGTCTTAGGTCACCACCATAGATGACCAGATCCTTCTGATTTTCAAAGGCTGTGTTTCTGTCTTTTATAAGGTTAATTTCCTATTTTATTTCTTCTTCATATATTGTATAACTTCTTTGACACTATATCCAGCATGCCACTGGTGACATAGAGCTTTCCAAGTCCAGTGACTTAGAAATTTCTACATAATATGAACATGGCTAATATTCTATTTTTTCCTCTTCATTTATGTCCTGTGTAGACAAAGGCTGTTTTTAGAAGCTGTGTCTCCAACAACACTTACTTATTGGAGTTGTTGATTTTGCTGAATTTACAGAGAATGTTGATACCAGGGCTTAACATTTAGTTGAAAGTAGAACAGAATATTGGAAATTGTTTAGATCCACTTTCCATCTTGGAGTAACTCTGGATAGCACATCCTTGCAAAATTCTTATCACATTCCTTTTTTTATGCATTATCAAGACCAGTTAGTTAGCCAAGTGATCTGCTAAAACTAGAAGAGTAAGAAAGCCTTAACAGTGAAGGCAAAATTACTGTTGTCGTGGATCATTATCTGATTTTTTTTCCCCTGTGGTCTTTACCATAGTTTGATATAGGTTAGTGGTTTTCTCTAAAGTCATATCATTCTGTTTGAAATGAGTTTAAAGCTAATCTTACACTCAGGAGTCTGATTGCCAGTAAAGTTTAACAATTAATGCAGTCATGCTCTGTGGAGCAGATCAGGAGGTGATTCAAGCTGGTGGCAGTGAAGATGTTAGAACCAGTTGCAGCACCTCAGCCCAAAATCTTGTGGACACCCTGAGGAGTATTAACGTTTAGTTATAAGGTAGGACTAAATAGTAACTGCTATGCATACTGAATGATTGAAGAGGGTTAAAGGTGAGAGTGGGGAAACCTTATTCCAATACTTTTTTAAAACATTCAAACACATATTTAAGCATTTATTAAATGCCAGGTTGATTGTGGGTGCTTAGAGATAGAGGCTTGAACCTGCTCTAACAGAATTCACCTTGTAGTAGAGGGAACAGAATTCAGTTTATATAACAAAGGACAAAAGAAAGCTATTTCAAGGTATGAGGATGGAGAATTATGAACTGGCTAGCATTGGTAAGGTGGTCACTAAGACGTTTTCAAAGTAGATGACAGGATACCCGGGCCAAATGAGTAGAAGCCACTTAGGAGATTTTCATGCAGAGGGGAAGCATGTGCAAAAATCCTTATGAAAAATGATCTCTGGGTATTCAAGGACTAGAAGAGAACTTTTGCAGCTGCAACTCACCAAGGGAAGAGAAGGAAAAGTGATAGATGAAGTTAGAGTAAAGTGAAGTTAAGAAATTGTGATCCCAGGAATGAGTTCATCTTGGGAATATTGATAAAGCCAACAGTGCACATGTGTTTTAAAAGTGAAATTATAATATTTGTAGTTTTAAAGACAAAGCTGGAGTCTCAATAGAATATCTAGAAATAATAGGGTGTCTTATGTCAAGCAAAGCAGGATGAGGGAGCTTCAAAGCCTACTGTTTGACATGCTGCTATTAAGCTGTTCTTGGAATCTCTCCAGTAGAAACACTAGTACATTTGTGTATGAAGTTATTGAAAATTATAACAATCTCCTTTTAAAATACTTCTTAAGGAGTTGAGCAGAGATTTATTTTTTCTTTTTTCTGACAAGTTAACTGAGTCTGATTCTCCTCTGTAGTTCCTTTAACTACAGTTTTATGTTTCCCCACCTCTTGCAGTGGAGTAGCATGGATCTCTAAAGAGATAGCCAGCACCTTTAGTGGGGACTTGTGCTTTTCATTTGCTTATTATTTCCCTTACTGTGATGGTAGCTGAATGCTTGTCTGTCAGTAAGATAAGCTATCTCTTGGTGAAATGAAATTGATCAGATTATGTTATGTTGCATGTACAAATATGTCACAATGAATCCCCCTGTTATATATAATTACTATGCACCAAAAAGATGTTTTTAAGGTCTGATTGGAATAAGAAAGTTTCCTTAAAAAAAATAAGCAATCCCTGTGACTATCTCAAGATACCTCTAATTTTAGGAAATCATCAGGATACCGGCAAAAATCTGCAGGTGATTTTGTATTCAAATTAATAAGCTCATGGAATTAACTTACAAAAAACAACTAGGCACACAACTAAGCCATAATGTGATTTTTTTCCCCCATTCTGTTCTGTTTGGAATACAATGAATGTTGAGGCATTATGGAGACTTGCCAAACATCTGGGCACTCCTGGACTCCAAGGAGCAATTCTGAAGCCTTCAAATTCCATCATAAGCTTGCAGCTTAACTATTTGTATTATAAAGGGTAAAAATCTAAGGCACAGAAGTTTACTGGTTTATTTTTCTTTTGGCAGAATTAAGATGTTCTGGTTTCAAGGAAATAGCATGCAACTTGCTAAATCTTCCTTTGGACTCTTCTTGAGAAATCTCTCTGCCTCTAAGACAACTTTGCCTGTGCTGACCTTATTCACAAAGGTACAGAGTGAAAAAATAAAATTACTACTTTAAAAATATAAAATATTAAGATTTTTGGTGCATACAGTTGTACATTTACAAATACAGGACAAATCTGAAAGGAAGACAGTGGAATAAACTCTCTTCAAACCTGCTGGAATTTCTCTCTCAGCACAGTAGCAGTAACTGTTTCCTTCCCAGACACTTCATTGTCTTCACAGTTATCAGAGAGTAAATTAATATATTTAATTGACATCTGACCCCTATGTTAAAAAAGTATAGATTATATTATGTTTAAAAATGTATCATTTGCAATTTTAGTAAGGCTTTAAGCAACTTAGCAAGACCCTGTCTCAAAATTTAAAATAATAAATAAATAAAAGGGTTGAGGATGTGACTCAGTGGTTAAGCATCACTGGATTTGGTCCCTGGTATCAAAAAAAAAAAAAAGTATCATTTGGAAATAAGTCAGTTTGTGGTAGTTATATTCTATATAATCACCACAAACACAGAATTAGCAAATACTGAATCATTACTCCTAGAGAAAATACAGGATTAGGTTCCCATGAGCCTGGTCATAGTATTTTTTTCAAATKACCAAATATATAACCTTATGTATAGTTTTTAATATAAAAGCAAAATTTTTATTACATTTGGTATTTCTGAAAATAGGCATATTTTTATTTTAATAAAAGGCATAGCATTACTGTGTTAGACCTCAGTTTATAACAAGTGCTTTGGCAACTTGAATTTTTTATCACTCTCTGCATGTTCATGTACATAAATAACTGCAAAAGTGTTTCAAGTATCAATTTGAGGGTTTCAAATAAGTTTTAGAAAGTAGGCAAGTTCACAAATATGGAATTCATGAATAATAAAGATTGAATGTATTTCTTTTTCTTATCCCTAATACTACACCCCACCCCCACCCCCAGTACTAGGGATAGAAACCAGAGACACATTGCCACTGAGCTACATCCCCAGCCCTTTGTATTTTTTATTTTAAAGCAGGTTTCACTTAGTTGCTTAGGGCCTCTCTAAGTTGCTGAGGCTGGTCTGAAACTTGGTATCCTCCTGCTTCAGCCTCTCCAACCATGGAATTACAGGCATGCACCATTGCACCTGGTTAGTTTTAAAATTTTTAATGAGATTTTCTACTTGAAATTTATGACCAAATATTAATGATTTCTTTTTGCTAGTTTACATCAGTTTGTGCAATTTATAATCAAAAAAGAAAGTGCGGATGGGGCTGGGGATGTGGCTCAAGTGGTAGTACGCTCGCCTGGCATGCGCAGGGTGCTGGGTTCGATCCTCAGCACCACATAAAAATAAAATAAAGAAGTTGTGTCCACTGAAAACTGAAAAATAAAATATGAAAAAATTTTCTCTCTCAAAACAAAAAAGAAAAAAGAAAGTGCAGAGTAATAGAAGCAACTTTTGTGAATAATTCTGCAATTCAAATAAAAAGGGGCTCTTAATAGTTTTTTAAAATAGATTTCAAACATTTTAACAATTTGAAAAAATCTAGCAGTTATCTAATAACAAAACTGAAGTAGTGTTTTTGAATGAATTTTTGTTGAGAATATTTAATTTGTACTACTTTTTATATCCATGAATATATATTGCACTCTTGGGAATTAAGGAATAAAAATTATTTCATCATATGAGAATCTATGATGGCAAATGCATTTGAAAATTAACCACAAAAATAAATAATCCCTAAGGCTAATTGTACTCATTTGACCTACTGTTCTGCACTGTTTTTCAGCTTGCGAACAGTTGAGAGTCAAAAACATTTATAAAATAGAACCAACAAAAACCAACAGTCCATTTAACTCAATATATGTACCAAACCCATGAGGCACATAATAAAGACATCTTAATGAAATTTTTAATATAAAAGCAAAATCTTAATACATTTGATATTTTTGAAAATTAGTATGTTTGTGTTTTGTTTCTGCTTTTAAGGTCTTAGGTTAACTTTTTTCATACTTTGTCAGAAAATTTCAGCATGATTGACTTAAACTATAATCTGTTGTTGATGCTAATAACAATTTGGTAAGTCTCATTCTCTGACCCAGGAGAGTAGAGCCAAAAAGACCCAGAAAGATCTCTGTCCTTATATAAACCATGCTGTGAGTTAAACTGGAGGAAGGGTCTCTTTTTAACATAGTAGCTCATCCCTTCCTGATGTGTTAAAATGTAGATTTTATATAAACATCAATAATGTTGTATCTATCTTGAGCTCCTACAAGAGAACCTATAGCTAGTCCCTTTTCTTAGACTGACTGGCTGAGAATCCTTTAAAATCCGCTGATGATCAATAGTGTTCTCAACATACTTTTCCATGGTATGGTTGAAGAGTTTGTTACAAACAACAATGGATGCTAAAACTTCTTGCCTTTCAAGTAGAGTATTAGCATTAGAATACCTGTTGCTAATACTACTTATACAAGAAAATGGGTAAACTAATACAAATTGGTATCATCATTTTAAAAGATGGAACAATAACTGTGTCATGAGGGGTTTATTCCTTCGGACTGATCAGGAAAAATAGGCCAGCAAAATTCAGCGTCTCCCAGTCAGAACAGACTATAAGCCATTCTGCTGGTGGCAGCCAGGCCACAGAGGTGCTCCTCAACTCAAGGAGCCTCTGGTAGATAGATCAGAGAAACAAATAATAAACATCTAAATTTATCATAAATCCACACATCCATGTATATATTATATATATGAGAAAAATCAAAACACAAAACCAAAAGGTGCAGAGAGCTCACCTATCAAGCAATAGTAGCTTTTTTTTTTTTTTTTTTTTAAGATTCTGTGGTAGTGTTTAGCTTTGAGAATAAAGCAGTCTAATTAACATGGCAGAAAACTGTCCTTTAAAGTAAATAAAACCTGTGGGTTTTTGGTTAGGCTGAAGATCATTCTTTAGGTTTAACAGCTTTAWTTTTTTCCTTCCTATAGGATCCATGCCCACTCTGTGATGAAGCCAAGGAAGTACTCAAGCCTTATAAAAACAGGGTAATAGTGTGGCTTTTATGAATGTGGAATGGATATTGTATGTGGTATAAAATATCTATCTCCATCCTTTTTTTAGGAAAAGAGATTAAATAATTTTTCATTTAAATTTTCTTTCTATTCTTCAGAGAGAGAGTTTAGTGCTGATTTCCATAAAACTCATTACCCCTAAGTGTTTTTCTCTGAACAGTACTGATTTTCTTACTCTGACTCTTAATATGAGTCAAAGTTAACTAGCAGGTGCAATATTCATGTTTTCTTTAAACCTTTGTCCCCATTTCTTTTATCATATTTCATAACTTCCATGGAAATGTTGTCATATAGCCAAACCATCACACCTTTACCATTCTTACAACCAAAACACTTCTTTCCTAGGCAGYTCCCCAGCTGGGATGTGTTTTATTTCATCAGAACTGAGCAGGAGTGTGATGCTGAATGTAGCAGGTGTAACAGAAAAGTAGCAAGATCTGTAGGTACGGAATATGGTATAATGAAACCAGTCATTTTGGAAATTAGGGGCATTAGATCAAAGTGGACCTAAAACAAATGACCAAAACCTCTCAGCATTAGAAACTACAAATTTGCATTGTTCTTAGTCTCTAAAATATAGAGCTTTAGCCTGTCTGTGCTTCAGTTTATTTTACAGGAGGTGGACATCACACTTCCAGAAAATTCTGCTTGGTATGAAAAGTATAAATTTGACATTCCTGTCTTTCATTTGAATGACCAGTTTCTAATGAAGCATCAAGTAAACACCTCAAAACTTGAGAAACAACTTCTGAAATTTGAGCAGCAAGGTGCTACAGACTGACTAATGCCTTCATGGTTTTCTACCCTCTCTGTCCATAATGCATCTTCCTAAGGAAATGACCATGGCCTCATACTCCTTTTGTCACTTTTCACAGAGCCCTAAGGCTGTTTTGAACTCAGTGGTGCCACATAAATGTTGCCATTCCTCTTCTGATTGATGGAAGTACCCATGTGGGAACTGTTTACTTGTGGGCATTTTGTAAAATAAGAGGAGTATATTGGCAGGGAGGGGGATGATGGAAGGAGGTAGAAATCCATTTGTCTTACTTATTTTTCCCTTTTGTATTAATATGGAAGCACTTCACATGAACTGGACAGTGCTGTTTATAGGAAGAAGGCTTTGCATTCCTGCTGCTGCCCTGGAGGGCTTAACTTTTTAATGAAAGAATAAATGCTCTTCCACTCAGTAGATAAAGTGAAATGTGAATTGTTAATAACTGTGCACAGTCAATAAAGGGATGTTTTAACGAATACATCTGCATGAAGCCTATTTCAGTGGGATTTAATAATACCTGTTTAAATTTAGAGTTCATTTTTGTTGGGTAGAAGAGAATAATTATACTAGCCAAAGAGACTTCATTTCATAGAGACAAAAGAAAGACTTAAAACCCCAAAATGTATAGAAGAACCTAGCATGCTTTGCACATACTCAGAGAATTGATCTGTAATATTGAGAACTGCCTTTGATAGTTATTCAGTTATCATCAATTAAGTTAATTCAACTTAAAAGACAGTAGTTTTGTCACTTTTTAATATATTAGGGAAAATTCACTTCTAATCATAACTGAATAGAAAAGTCATTTAAAGACAAAATACTCCTTCACCATTCTATATAAAGAATTAAAAGTGGAGTTTTATACCTGTATTTACATTTTGTCAAATCCAGCCTATCTAGGAATGAAATCACATAAAAACAAAACTTCCCTTTTTCTTTTAAAATCACATCACTGCAACTCCATCTGTAATGAAATTCTTTCATGAACTAGTTGGATAAATTTGGACATTATCGACCACTAGATTTTAATTTGATCACTATGATTTAGTCTTAGAAATTATAGAATACTGGAGCTAACAAATCTTAGATATTTTCTTCATTTTATACATGAGGAGGAACCTAAAATTCATCAAAGACTTAGCCTAAGATTGGTCACCCAGACAGTTAGCTGGTGGGCTGGGTCTTGCCTCACAGTCCTGAATACCAGCTGAACTCTCTGCAGGGGTCTCGTGTTATTTCAATACAGCATCCCTAACCACTCTGGATCCAACATAAATTTGCAAACAATTTAAGTCCTCCAAAGTGACAATAGAAAAAAAAATCTTAGAGATGTTTATAATTTACAAGTTTGTGGAACACATTTAGAGATTATAAATATTTGTTGAGCTCTGTAGTAGGCAGAATTCTAATGACCCTAGTGACCTTGCTCTTATATAATTCCCTTCCCTTTAAGTGTGGGTGGAAATATTTCTGCTGTGATTATGTTACATTATATGGTGAAAGGAAAATTATCCTGGGTGGGCCTGATCTAGTTGGGTGAACTTTTAGAAGCAGAGAGTGCTGGCCAGGTGGTTTCAAAGAGGAAAATAGAATRTGCTCCAGCTAACCTGAAAACAAGCAAACATCCATTACTGCCTAGTGGGACCCCATGGCAAGAAACTGTGGGTGGCCTCTAGGAACTGAGTAGTTCTTGAACAACAGCCAATAGGAAAATGGGAATATCAGTCCTACAGTTTTGAGACAGTGAATTCTGTCAGTAATCAATAAGCTTAGAAGAGAACCCTGAGTGCCATATGGGAACTACTGCCATGGCCAATGTCTTAATTTCAGCTTAGTGAGGCTCTAATTAGAGAATCCAGCCACATGCCTAGACTTCTGATCCATGGAAGCTGTAAGCTAATAAACATATGGTAATTTTCTGTGTGACATGTCCTTACAACATTGAAGTACAGTGTTGGGTGGTTAGAGTGCAGCAATGAAAAAGGCACAGCCCTTCCTCGTGTTTGAGGCACTCACTCTCTGAAGCAGGGAGAAGCAAATTGATAAAGCACAGCAACATAGTGCAGTGAGGGCTGAAACTGACACATGGAAAATGGTACAGTGGATTAGGAAAGTAGCAAGAAGGCTTCACAGGAAATTAGACTTAAGCTGAGTCTTGATGGCTGAACAGAAGCTATGTAGGAGGCTCTGGTGTAGGGAAAGTAGGGACAGTCTTCCATCCTGAGGGAGGAACATAGGTAAACTCTGGAGGTGTGGAAGGGAATGGCACAGTCAGGAAATGGGAAGTGGCTTTTTATGACAGAAATGAAGGAGAAGGGAGTTAGGAAGAGGAAACTGCAAGATGAATTGGGCTCTGCATTGTGAAGACCTGAGCTACTGTGCTTTTTTCCCAGCAGATCCGCCATTGCTTCCTGCCTTCAACCAGAGTCAGCCCTCCCAGTTCCTGATTCCTGTGGATAGCTGAGTTCTCTAGCCCCATCTATTGCAGTCCTTCTTCCAATCATTTAGCACACTGAGTGCAACAGTCCCCTGTAGTAGCTCTGCAGGACAGTTACCCACTCAGTAGAATCAGAAGGCACCATAAACAAGGTCCCTCACTTGTGAGTCTAGGTAGTCTGTGTTCTTTACAGCCTTCTCCAGTAGGGTGAGAGTTGTTGGCCCCTGGGTCCTAGGGTTTCTGATCCTTCTCTTGGGCCACCCTTGGGAAAGTCCTAACAGTTTGTCTCCTCAGGGAAGAGGGGGAGAATCCATTCAAAAAGCAGAGCTAGCCAGAAAACCTGGAGGTTTGTTCTTCTTGGGCACTACTTTTCTGAGTGTAACCAGGTGGTTACAGTGTATAGGAAATACAGAGACAAAAAGTAGAGTAGTACTTCATTCCAAACAATAAAGTTCTGCCATTCACATATTTTCTTACAGGATGTTCAAACTAAAGTATTGGTTAAAGCACCAAGAAATATTGTGTGATACTTTCCCGGAAATACTGTGTCTCCTCAAGGAGTGTTAGAGATTGGGGAAAGGATATTGAGAGGATTTTTAATTTGTGTAAAGAAATATGTGCTCTCAGTTCCCACCAAAGTGAAAGGTTGGGAGTCACCTCACACCAAGACAGAGGGATATAAGTGGGTCTCATCAGAAAGCTGGATGTATATCCCTGGGTAGAAAACAGTGGTCTGACTTTATCTTGGGCAATCACACAAAAAGTGGGCTAGCAAGCATCTTCAGTATAGTTCAAGCAGCTGTTATTGCTTCAAGATTGTCCAGGGGAAGAGTGTGTTTGTGTGTGTGTGTGTGTGTGTGTGTGTGTGTGTGTGTGTGTGTGTGTGTCGCGGGGGGGGGGGGGGGGGGGGGGTAGCGGGGGGGGGGGTTTCCTCCTGGATTGTATGTGGGCCAACCATGAGGGAGGGTTCCTTCAGTACAGACAGGGCTCAGAAGTGGAGAAGCAGAAGGGAAACACCAGGTAACTGGGCTGAGAAGTTTGCTTCACTGGAACACATTTGCACAAAGGGAACAATGGGCAAGACATTACTAGTAATGGCTGCAATCTCCCAGAACCACAACAACCTATACAAAATATGGTCTTCTTTAAACATTTAGCAGGTTCAGGAAAGCAGGATGACAGCTTATAGCTCCAGTGTTCAGATAAGAATATTCCCATCGCTTCCCATTTCTCTTTCCTTCTCCCATACCACCCTGGAAGGATCAAAAACTTCCAGGAGCAAGCAGAGAAGGACCTTCCTCTTCCTCAGCTTTGCACCTGTACATGGTTTCTCATGGGGAAACTGTTAGGACTTAATTTTCAATCAAGTCCTAAGTTTTTATYATGACATGAAATCAGATGCACTAAACATGGTTGGAAGTGACTGTGGGACTTTCTGTTACATGAGAATTCTGAAGAGTCCTGACATTGCCTGGGTTTTTAAACAGGAAAAAAAAAAATAGTCTGAATACATTTATAGAGATAATGAGAGACCTAAGTAAAGATGCTTTCTGATAGTATCTCATATTCAAAATATTGATTAAATATGCCTAATATTCTTTTTAATCTATTAATCTTCAATAAATTTACTTATTTGAGAAAGGAATATGGTGATGTGACTAAGAATCCTGGAGATCTTCAGCATTTCCTCTAGTCCCCATCACTGGCAAAAGGAAAGACAGATATCTCAAATCATGGCATCTAAAAGGTAGTTTGATTATCCCACTATTAACAAATATTAGAAAAATGTTATATCAGTTACTGCAATAATTTGCATGTGGTATTTGTAGCTGAGACTATTTTCCCTTTCTGAAATTATGTTTACAAGGGATCAATTTGTTCTTACATAAAGATTAAGTTTCACATCAGAAACTCATTATTAACCTTTCTTTCTTCCTCCTTAAGCTAATGCTTTAAGAACTGGAATAAACAGTGAGTTTGGGACTTCATTTTGCTGCCCTTAGCATCGTCACATTGCTTCTTTCTTCCAGATGTCTCATCATAACATTATAAGGGCTTACTGGAACATATAATTGTTAATTTATTGCAGGAAATAGGGGTTCGCTCAGACTAGAGCTTTTGGTTTTATCTTGTTTTAATTGTGTAACAATCTTATGAACATGTGAAGTAGAAAACACAATGTGATTAGGCTTCAGAAAGTACAACTAAAGAACCATCAGACACTGAGACATCCTTTTCACAACTTCTTTCTTATCCTGTTCTCTCTGGGCTTCCAGCTCCCCAGCTCACACAATATCCACATCGCCATAACTGCGGCCTGCTCATGCCTGAACTTTCTTTTTAGCAAAACATTGGTCTGAACAGCTTCAGACTAGCTTCTCTCAGCTTCTCTATTCAAAAATTCCAAAAGGAAAATTTTATTCAGCTTGTATTTAACAACCAGTCATCCAAGTTATAGATTGGCTGACCAAACCTATAGAAGATTTGGGACAAATGCCAATTCCTGGCCCAGTTGGCTATGAGTGCCAAGATCATGAAGGATGCAGATCATAATCACTGCCCATTCATCAGAGACTGGAAGCTGGGCAGGCAACAATCAGTAACCTGGTATACATCCAAAATTTTGAGTGTGTCATTCTAACATATTCGAGAGAAGTTGAGAACAGAGTGGTAAGTTCACTTATATCCTATCCATGGAAAAATGAGGATTTGAACCAAGAAGTTAGAACTATAAGTAGTTTTTAAATCTGAGTTCGACAGAAGTTCATAGACTGGACTGAGGAGAGGATGGTGGTGGAGGAAGAAATAGAAAGCATGAAGTCTGGGATGACTCCCACTCTTCTTGCTCTGGCTATTGGGTAAAACCTAGTACTTGCTCACCGMTAGAGAATTAGAGAAAGAAAATTTGGTTTTGGTTGTGCTTGGTGGATATGAAAGATAAGACATGGTGAATTTGTCATGCTGTTCGACATCCAGATAAAGATAAAAGTTGGAAATGCAAAACAGGTCTGGGCTTG